CCTGCAAGCCCTCTCCTGGGTTCGAGCCTGCAACCCAGGCATGTGTCCTGACCAGGAATCGAACCAGCAACCTTTTGGCACATGGGACAACGCCCAGCCATCTGGGCCACCCTGGCCAGGGCGATCCAACATTATTCTTAGTGGCCATGTAGGTCCTGCTTCAATCTGGTTGAAAGTAAATACGCAGAGATCACCTGGGCTACAGAGGAGTCATTTCCCAGCCGGGAGGGCACCAGGGCGAGTTCGTGCTGCGCCTGACCCTCCCGCAGGCCTCGCTCACGTTCCCCTCGCCCCTTTCCTTCCCAGAGGCCACTCTTCGCTCTGCGGCGCTCCTTTAACTAATGCTGTAGCCCAAGCCCTTTCTGTCTGCTACGCGCCGGGGATTTTAGAGAACTGGAAACTCTTGAACTCTCTCTTGCAGGGTACACTTAATTATTGGGTAGGCCTGCCAATTTCAGGACCGCATTTAAGCGGGAGGTTAGAAAGTGTGGAAGAAATCCCAGCAGCCCCTCCTTCGTCCCCTATCAGGGTGGGCACCTGCCTCTCCACCACTTGGTCTGAGTGTTTGGTCTTCCAGCTCTGACTGCCGAGTGAACACTGCGGATTTAATCAGGAGCCTGCTCAACTTTGTATGTCCAAGGAAAGCATTCTTTTTCTTGTGACCCTAGTAAAAGATGTGTCAAGAGGCCAACGGTTTACCTAAATGTCTCAAAGATTTAATTCATGCTTCTAAGAAGCAATAATAAGTCTATAGTTTCCCTAAAAATTCAGAATTATAGGGATTCAGTCTTTCCATCGATACAGCACCGCTCATCCCCGTGGTCCAGACAGGATAAATGTTAGAGCTAAAAGGCCTCTCGTTAGATGGACTGTGAGGAGCCCAGAGTGCCGAGGGGAGGGGAGTGTCAATGGGTGACATGGTGGCATGGCCTGTGAAGCCACCATACCCTGCCCTCCCTCCCGGATGGTCTCTCCTGTGTCTCAGTCTGCCCTCACTGCTGTGGCTGCACAGGGAATGCAAGTGGACAGTGAACTGCCTGTGGATACACAGTATTTTCAAACGGAAAAGACATCTCCACTATCCTTTTGAGCCCGTTTAGGAACACAGGCTGTCCACTGCTCTACAAACCTGAAAACAGGGTCGAGATAGGGGGCTGAGTGAGGAGGCCTGTGGGGCAGCTGAAGGTCAGGGGCCCAGAGGCCCCCCAGGCTGATTCCTGGGGAGCCTGATTATAAGGCAACTCCTGAACTTGGGACTGACAAGGTGACCTTGGCTAGCCACATAGTCGATCGGTGTTTCAGACTTGCCTGGCTCAAAAATGGAGCTAATCTCTTGCCCCCTGCAGAGTTTTAATAAGGATTAGATGAAATAACTTGCCTGAAAAGGCAAATTCAATTCCATGTTCATAGCAGGAACTCCTGATACACTCATTTGTTATTTAATCTATTGATAGTGAAGAATTGGTGAACAGAAAATAGATGCTCAGCTCTCACTGGGGGCAATTTCGGTTTTGAAGAATCCCCGTCTGCCTCTTGATCCAGGTCACTCTGACAGTGGTCACACTGAGTACTGCGGTCACAGTCTCTATGGAGATCTGTTATAGACAGATCTATAATGGAAACTGCCCATTCCCTGTCTCTTCAAAGTGCAAGTCCCCTCAATGACTCCATTTCCCCTCAGGGAAACTGGGTGGTTTTAACTCTGGTGTCAAGCAGGGGGGCTGCTGGGGGACAGCAACACTGGGTGATGCAGGAGGGGACTTTAGAATGCGGAGGAAAGGAGCAAGTTCTAGACGTCTTTTTCTTTTTAATACCAGGTTATAAAAGCACATGTGCAAAATGTGAAAAACAAAATGGAAAATAGAGACGTAAGAAAAGTATTATCCACAAGCCTAGCTCCCAAAGAACAATGACTGTAAACAGCACTGATTGTTATTTCCTTTCAGCTCTTTTCCTATATTTTCTTGATTACATAGTGATTATAACATGTGCATTTTGCATTGCAGTTTTAAATCTAACTATTTTTTAAAAATATATCTTTATTGATATCAGAGAGAGGAAGGGAGAGGGAGAGAGAAAGAGAAACATCAATGATAAGAGAGTCCTCATTGATCGGCTGCCTCCTGCATGCCCCCTGCTGAGGATCGAGCCCGCAACCCAGGCACGTGCCCTGACCAGGAATCGAACAGCAATCGCCTGGATCCTAGGTCGATGCTCAACCGCTGAGCCACGCTGGCTGGGCTAAATCTAACATTTTAATGTAAAAGTTCACCCATGTTAATCCAATACACACCTCATTCTAAACGTCTCATCATATCCTGTCAAGTTGAATGTGCCCTACTTTACTTCTACTGTTCTGTTGTTGGGCATTTTGACTATGTCTCTTTTTTACATTACAAATAATTCAGTACACCTCATTTCTGTAGGACATTTAAACAAAGAATCCATTTCTTCTTTAGACATAAGTTTCCCAAAATGAAATTATAGACTAAAAGGGACATGCTACAGGCTCTTGGTACATGTTGGTAAAGGTGATGCCCATTTAGACTGCACCAGCAGTGACAGTCCCTTTTCCAGTCCACCCTTGTCAACAGAGTAAAATGATGGGGAAAAAATCACTAATGGGGAAAAAAATAGCGCCGTGAAGCACAAACTCTATTCCCTTGCATTCTGCTGAGGTTCAGTATTTCCCTATATATTTGTTAACCTGTAAATGTCCTTATTCTATAGTGATCATTTTTAAATGTTATATTTTTTAGGGATATTGCACACCCACTGGGTATCTCTGGAACACGCTGTGGAGTTTATGCCAAAAGGGCAGTGTGCTAATTTATGAATCCTGTGGGCTGTGTGAATGCCAAGAGATAAGTGATCAGATAGCCAAGATTTCAACTCCAAGTGGAAAGAAATAAAGCCTTAAGTTGTCTCAGGAAAACCAAAGCAAATGCCACCGGCATAATGAAGAGATGTGTTTTGATTTCAGTTCCAAGCATAATTTTTTTTCTCCTCTCTCATTCCCTGAAAACAATCTCCCAAACTGGCCTGTGTTAAACGTAATAGGACAAAATGACAAAAATCAGAGATAACAGTTTTTATAATAAAGCAAAGAACTGGGAAGCCAATCTGTTCCCAAGGAAAGTAGAAACACTGTTCTTGAATCAATTTGGCCCGACATGATCATGGTTGATATGTATGGGCTGGGCTCACTCTGAAAGTTTCATTTCCTACAGAAGACCTTAAAATGCAACCACTGTATGCCCTTATTGATAATGTTTGAGTGACTATGTATAATACGTTGTCAAGAACATAAATTTGTGTATAATTAAAAAATGACGAAGGGAATGCCTCAGGAGTATCCCACTGGCTACATCGCTTCCAAAATAAGTAACCCACCATTCATTCCATATGAATTCACCTGTTGGTTAATCTCCCAAAGTTAAACATTTTAAGCCAACACTAACAACAGAAACCCATTTTAATGCAAAAGAACTAATGAAGAGCTAACCATCGGATCATAATGACAGCAATGACCGTGAGAAGGGCATTTTCATTTGAAACAAGAATGCTTTACTCTAATAAATTGCCAAACAGAACACTAAGACAAACGTGTGGGCTCCTTTTCATTGAGATGAAAGAAAAGAAAGCTGCAGGGAGAGATACCACCATTTTTACAACGACTAGGCCATCTGGGCCCTCCCTGAGGAACCCTACATTTCTAACGCAAGTCACTCATTTAGAACTACACCGGAGACAGGCCGGGGTGCTTGAAACAGTTATTTACTTCTGATGCAATTTGTTAATATTTTCTCATGAATGTCTACCCTCAACTCCTAGCTCCTTAATTTTGGGGGGGGGAGCAAACATATTTATTATTGTAATTATTCATGGCTCCATAGTATCTCAAAAAACCATGCATATGATAGCCACTGGATAAACAGCTAGAAATGAAGCCAACGCAGCCAGAAGGGGATTGATTCTCACGGGAAAGGAAAAGCACATCATGGGCAGTGAGGAGGGACATGTGGGTCTGACGCGGCCTCACGAGAGCGGTCAGCTCTGCAGCTTCACAGAGCGGCTACCCACCGTCTCACCGAGATTTCACGGGCACACGCGCGATGGCGCCCTCGTGGGATCTGACATATACGTGTTGTAAAGCCAATTGCTTGAATACAAATAAGCTGAGAGAACATCCACCCGAAGACCAACACCTAAAGTAAACCGCTTCTAAACCAAGAGGTGAATTTCAGATCGCCACGGGCCGCAGAGAAGCGGACAGACCGAGCGGACAGCCGGACAGAGTGCCCCACAACTCCGCCCCCAGCATGACACCGGCTTTTGCTATATAAAACCTGTATTTTAAAGTCTAAACAATCTGTTATAAACTGTTGTTGTTGTTTTGTTTTGTGGTGTGGTGTGTTTTTTTTTCGTTTCAAGAAACTGGGCAGGTTTTTAAAGTTGTTATTTATCTGAAATTTTCTGTACTCGATTCAAGTCAAAATAGACCTTAAATGCTTCACATGACGACGTTGGCTGTGTCTCCTGTGTAATGCTGAGGGTTTATACAGCTTGTTACTACTCACATAAAATAGACTCTTCTGAGACCGCCTGCAAAATGCAAGACTGGCCAGGCCACGAGCCATACGCCCGAGGTGCTCTGACCCACACATACCTCTCTATCCATCTCAAGCAGCAAAAAATCTGCCCCATGGACCATGGATTTCTTTCCTGGACAGGTTCTTATGATGAACTTAAATAATACGAAAAGAAAAAAAAAAAAACCACCCAGAAATGAGCTCGACTTTTCCATCTCTTTTGATTTCAGACAATAACCACCCCAAGACTCCTGAGATGTGCCCGTGAGACATCATTCAAGATGAAAACAGCAAAATGCCCGGCTTCTCCTCGGCCACCTCCTTCTGATCTAAGCCACGCTGGGTGCGCTCCACCTACGCCAGACCCACTAAGCGCGGGGGACCGGGCGGGTGGCGCGGGCCGCTCACCTGGCTTGCTGGCAGACGCAGCAGACCCAGGCCCTCTCGCGCTTCTGGTAGGAGCAGCAGCTCTTGCAGACGTTGAAGGCGCAGTCCCCGCAGCGGCGCTTGCTGTTGACCAGGAAGGTGAAGGGCGAGCAGCAGCGCATGCAGCAGTGCTCCACGAACTTCTGGTGCTTGGACAGGATGCTGCACCTGCTGCCTTCGTCGTCCAGCTTCTGCTTCATCTCGCTGCGACCGGGGCGGAGAAGGAAAGAGCAGACCAGGTCAGGGGGCTCTCTCCCCAGAGCATCCCTCCCACCCCCCAGCCCCCAGCCCGTGCACAAGCCGAGCCACAGGCGGGATCTTCCTGTGCAGCAATAAAACTCACGGAGATCGGTGGCCTGACACGCTAGCCAGAGGGGAACCCCAAAGGTGCATTAATGTCGGGCCCATTCTCTATGAGAAAGCCCGAAAACCTTCCTAGGTACATTTCAGACGCTAGGGCTGAGATGCACAGTATGATTATAAAACGAAGCACATCCTCAAAAAAAAAAAATAAAACCTGTGACTTAATTAGCACCTTTTTAAAAGGAGCAGGAGATCGTGTTATTATTACGTGGCTGTGTTAAAACATTAACCCTCACAACGGCCCTGCTGGGAATACGATCGATGCAGCGCTGGCCCCGGTTAACATCTCTAGAAGTGGAAGCGCCCAGGGATTTTAAAAGCTTTCAGATCAGTGCAATTGGATAAAGAGCCTCTGGGTGACGGGCAAACCCTGAGCGGCGGCGATTCAGAGTCACAGGATAAAAGACGGCCCCCTCTTCGGGCCCGCTGACCAGAGGAGAAGTCCCCAAATCCACGACCTAAATGGTAAGCAGGGGTGGGCAGGCAGGAGTCACCCTTGCCTGACACATGAGGCACGGGAGTCAGTTTGCCAGACGCGGGTAAGCCAAAAATAAAAACGTTAGGATCACCTGTGCTCTACTACTCTCAGCTATTAATGTATACATCCCCCTCACCCTCGTATTTTAAAGTGGGATGATATCATATATACTGTTTTAATTTTGAAGCCTAGAAAATTGTCTATTTTTGTTTAGATTTTCAAGCGTGTTGGCATAAAGTGGTTCACAGGTTTCTCTTATGGCTTTTTCCCTCATTATTTGTAATTATGTCCCCTTTTCTTTCTAAATATTGCTTATTTGAGCCCAAGCGTTTTCCCCCTGAACTTTATGCACATATCTCATTTTTTCAGCTGCTTCTCCTCCGAAGACTCTGGGCCACGTCTCCTGCCCCCTTGCCCAAGTGAACGCCGCAGGCCGCAGAGCCCACAGCCCCTGTGTTTTCCATGTGGCTGGGCAGATCGCTCTGGTTTTCAATTCCCTCTTCGCTTCTACCACCTGGGAATTTCCTTTTCTTACTTCCCCCTCTTACTTAAAAAAAAATTGAGATATAATCCATAGGCCATAAAATTTATCCTTTAAATTATACAGTTCAGTGGATTTTAGTATATTCGCAAAGTTGTGTTAAGCATCATCAGCGTCTGATTCCAGAACATTTTCATCAAGCCAAAAAGGAAGCCCACACTCATGCAGTCACTCCTCATTGCCAGCCCCCCTCAGTCCCTGCCAAGCACCCATCTCCTTTCTGGCTCTATGACTTTGCCTATTCTGAACATGATCTATAAATGGACTCGTACCCCATGTGGCCTGTTGGGTCTGGCTTCTTTCTTTGCATGTGTCCAAGGTTCATCCATGCTGTAGCATGAATCAGAATTCATTCCTTTTTATTGCCAAATAATATTCCCTTTACGGATATACCATATTTCATTTGCCCACTCATCAACTGATGGACATCTGGGTTGTTTCTACGTTTTGGCTATTATAAATAATGCTACTATAAACACTCATGTATATGTTTTTTGGGTGGATATATCTTTTCAATTCCAGGAGTAAAATCACTGGGTTGTATGGTAATGCTATGTTTAAATTTTAAAAAAATATATCTTTATTGATTTAAGAGAGAGGAAGGGACAGGGAAAGAGAGAGAAACATCAATGATGAGAGAGTCACTGATAGGCTGCTTCCTGCACACCCCCGACTGGGGATCGCGCCCGCAACCCGGCTGGGAATTGAACCACGATCTCCTGGATCCTAGGTCGATGCTCAACTGCTGAGCCACGCCAGCTGGGCTATGTTTTGATTTTTAAGAGACTGACAGACAGGCTGTTTTCCAAATGGCTGCATCATTTTAACACCCCCGATGGCAATATATGAGGGCTCCAATTTCTCCACCGCCTCACCAACACTTGCTATTGTCTCCCTTTTCTATTATAGCCACCCCAGCGAGTACGAAGTGGTGTCTAATTGTGGTGTTGATTTGAATTTCCCTAATGACAAATAATGCTGAGCATCTTTTCATAAACTTATTGGCCATTTGTACACCTTCTTTGAAGAAAAATCTATTCAAATCTTTTGCCCATTTTAAAAGTAGATTATTTGTCATTTTATTGTTGTGTTGGAAGGGTTCTTTATGTATCCAGATACAAATCCCTTTTCAGTTTTATGATTTGCAAGTATTTTCTCTTCCTTATAGTAAACCTTATACTTTATTAGTATTTTCATGTATTTTTAGTACAAAGAAGGGTCACACCAGCTCATCCCAGCCTCCTATTAGAATTGGAAATCTACATATGGTATTATAACCTCACTTTTCACTTAACAACAACATATCATAAACATCTTTCCATGACAATTCATGAAGCGTTTGCAGTTTTAGCTTTTGGGTGCCCTGGGCTGGCTGCTCTGCACAGCCGTCTCCAACACTGATCTGTGGCTTGCGCACTGGGTAACAGAGGAAGGCCGACTCCAGTATTAAAAGAGGGGATGACATCAGGTCAGCCAATAATTCTATGAGGTAAAATATTATATGCATACACTTTGCTGAACAAAACGTTTACAGGGAAACAGGACAGGGTTTTGTCTTAAGGCATGAAGATGTCAGTATCCGGTCCCTCAGATTTAGAGCAAGACAAGAGCTAAGTCATCGGGGGCTCTGACATCTGTAAACTACACAAGAACAGCCTCAGCAATTGACCAGCTCCTATTGATATGTCAGAGACACTAAATTAAATGGACTAAAACATCCAGGAAGGAAAGTCATTGGGGAGCAAAAGCTCTGCCAACTCAGTGTACAGAATCCCTTGAGCTTCATGAGTTCTGTTTCCTGATGCACAGGACTGCAAACAGCAATTTTGATCAGGCCCTGCAAACATCTCCTTCCCTGAGCTTCCTGGGCTCAGTGAGTGGACTCTCCATTCCCCTAACTGCTACAGCCAAACACGGGACGTTTTCTTGGTCTTGTCTCCCCTTACACATCATAGTCAATTCATGTTCTATACATTGTATCTTCCAAATATAAAATATCTGGCATTCATTTACTTGTCTCCATCTTTGCCTTACCACCCCTCCAACCCAGTCCGACCTGGCCTCATCTCTTCCTGAGACCAGGGCAACAGCTTCTTTCTAAACTGAGGACCCTTCTTCTTCGTCTCCAATCTCTGCTCTAAGCTACAGCAAGAAAGACCTTTAGAGCAGGAAAATCTGACTGGGCCCCCCACCTGCTCAACATGCTTTCACAGATTCCAGTGTGTTTTTTCAAGATGTAACAGGAGCCCACATGGCCTGTTTGCCTCCAAACTCACCCCCTCCTCTTATGATGCTTGAACCACACAGCCTGTTCCATTTCCTGCTGTGCTTTGGAAATGCCATGTTCTTCCTTCTTGGAGGTTTTCCTACAGGATCTCTCTTCTGGAAAGCTCAGCCTAAGTCCATTCACCCTCCTCCATTCTCCACGAAAGACTTCCCAGTGTGGCTGGTCGTCCCCACAGACAGCCCTGGGCAGCCCACAACTGTGATGCTGGTCTCCTGAGAGGTTTTACAGGCAAAAATTATACATACACCCTTGTTCATTTTTCCTAACGATGCTATGAGATTAGAAACATGGCAGGTTACCTTCTCCTTTCTCCTACCCTGGGTCTGAATACCTGGAAAACACTGGAAGCTTCTGCACGTCAGTTTTAATTTTCATGCATTCCTTTGGTAGAGTTTCCCACAGTGTGGCATGTGGACCACTGCTGGTGGACCAGACGAATGTGGGTGGTACAGGACTAAACATATTTTATATTAACAGCTATGTTTTTTGTTTGAATACGTATTAGGAAAAAATTTAACAAACATATTTAGCCTGATATTTCATGGATGTAAATGCTTAGTTAGTCAAAATGCTATTTAATATTTTTGAGTGAGATGTTTAAAAGAAAAATATTAAGTAAACAGTAACAAAGCTGATACAAACATCTGGTGAAAATTTTGAAAATGGTTGTCTACACACTCACAAGGAGAGAGGGATGTGTTCATGGGCAGAGCCCATCAGTCTCTTAAATGGCAAAGAAATTTCTGGAGAAAGTTCCATAAAACAAGAGACAACGGCATCATCCCATATGGAGAGATTTTCTTCTCGGGCACTCAGGTTTCCCCCACTGGAAAGTACAGCTGCCAGTGATACTAGAGGCTGCTGGAAGCTTATTGAGATGGAAGGTTAGACAGACTGATCTTCACACCGTTTACTGTGTAGCTGCAAGGGTTCTGCTTCAGAGCCTATTACCCTCAATTAACATTTATTCGGAGTCCACTAGAGGGCAGCCCTGCACTTAGAAATGGGGCAAAAAAGATGATCGCGTAGCAGACAGCGTGTCATCTGCTGGGCCACGATGACCAGCACAATCAGAATGAATGACAAGACACTCTGAAATCTTCCGGGAAGGTTTCAGCGCGTCAACATTTCTTTAGTCCTGAGGTGCGGCCTAACATCTCAACATGCCTGTGTTTAAGTCTTTCTTCACTTTACAGATAAGAAAGCCTGTTGTGCTGGAGAAAACAGTTAGAGGAGAGGTAGCTGGGAACAAGTGAGCAACAGAGAGAGCAGAGCCCAACGAACAGGGAATCTCGTGCACGTGATTGATTGTAGGAGTGCTCTTGAAATAAGGGAAGGAAAAGGAACAGAACAGGACAGAGGACAGAGGCGAGCGGAGGTGGGTTCGGATCCTGCAGGGAGCTCTGCAGCATGGGTTGTACGGTGGGGTGGCTCCCACTCTGGGAAAAGATAGCCTTTGTACCCCTGTATTAGTCAGTCCTGTCCATGCGAAGCCACTCCGCCCCTGATCCAAACAGGATGTAATCACTAGGGAG